CCCCAAAACCCCAAAACCCCAAAACCCCAAAACCCCTTAAAAGCTTAATTTTCTCATAATGGACTCTTATTCACTACATATGCATCCTTGAATTAATACCAGCTAGGATATCTGCTTCTGATCTGTTTTTTGAAAGAGTAAATGCTGTCTGTGGGAGCCTAGTTTTTTGGGTCAGCTTGGCATTTCAAAATTTATGAATATTCCTATCCTTCAGCACTATAAATGATCAGAGAGTGCTTTACGCTTTCGATTTTGGGAGAGATCATCTCTTCTTAAAGAGTTGAGCTATAGTAGAATAAGCCATTATGCTTACATTTACTTCAAGCTCTTTAACTTTTTGGTACCTTTCAAGGTAAGAGAGTCGTTTATTAGCATTCTTTTTAGGTTTATTCTGACCCAAAATAGTCGGGAAATGAATTAACTTATCCGATTTACACTTTTTAAGAGACTTATAACCAGTGGATTTCATATCAGAGACATTATGGAAGGTCCTGAGCTTTGAAATATGACCTTCTTCAGCAAGGACCAAGTTCCTATCATCTAACTCTACTGGTTGTAGACTACCTTGTCTCCTATCATAGGATTCAACTATATTCATTTCCTTAATTTCGTCCTCAATTTCCCATGTTTTGTTGCTTGTCCCCAGTGTTCTTTCAAGTGTGGTTTTCATAGACATTGATCTACCTTCAAAGGGCATTTTATCCCTCGTAGTTATTCACTGTATTTTGGCTATAAAGCATATGTTTAGTATAATGTTTAGGGTCAGTGAAATTCCTCCTTACATTGCTTAGTTGAGACTAGAGATTTTAATGATGAATATACCTTCATTTCGTGACTTCATCTTCTTCTCACCGTTGAGAACCAATATCTCTTGTGCGCTTTTAGGCCTCCTAGAGAATGAGCTGGCATCTTACTCCTCAGATTTTAAATTTATCATGAAATTGCAAACGCCTGGGCGGCGCTTTTCTTTCTTTTTATAGGGGCTTTTTAATCAAGTTATCTTTGCTTCAAGGTCAGTTATCTGAGATTCTTGGGAAAACACCTTCTCTTCAAGATACTGGATTTTAGCTTTGCAGTCAGAATTTTCTTTATAGCAGAGCTCATAATTCTCTTTTAAGACATGGATTTCAGCGGTAATTTCGGAACGTAAGGTTTCCATAGCTTCATTAAGCTCCTTAATGACATCTATAACTACCACTCCTTGAACTGCTTCTGGGGTAAGGCAGGATAATTTCCTGTTTTGATGCAAGTCATTTGTGCTACTGCATCTTTAAGTTAAGACCAAGGAATTTACCTTTCTCCGATCTCTTTCAGAGCATTTGGACTGATATTCCTAGTCTTTAAGGACAGTATATTCCTAGTCTTTGAGAAATCAGGGCTGATTTGGTGTGAGATTTCTCTCCCTTACTATAATTCCTTTAAAAATACCTTTCTCCAATGGGTAAACTAGGTGGGTGTTCTCTTTATTGATGTAGCTTTCCAGTAGTTTAGCTTTACTCTTGCCCTTCTTACATTTCTGATTTCTAAAAGTCGTGGCACTGCCGTAAGACTTCATCGAAGTCATCTGCTTGCCAGATTTAGTCGAACCTTTACTGGAATACCCTTTAATCTAGATAGTTAAGCTTAGAGGATGAACTAGGAACACTACTTACAATTGAGCTAGGCCTTCCCTTAGCTAAGTTCTTCACAGCATTAATACTACTCGTTTGAGGAATTGCAAAGCAAGATGACCGTTTTAAGTTAAAATTTTGCATATTTGATAATTAACGAATTTATTATTTTAACTTCCAAATTTTCACAGAGATTCTGGGGTTTTGGGGTTTTGGGGTTTTGGGGTTTTGGGGTTTTGGGG